AAGGACTTTAATCCGGCCCGCGAGATGATTATGTAAAGCAGTGGTGTCAAACATACGGTCCGCGGGCCGTTCCATCAGGCCCACAGGATAATTTAAAAGTGAAGAAAATGCATAAAAGACACAGAATAAATATTTTTAATAAGGTGCAATTCATTGAGTATCCGCTAGGGGACACTGTTTTGATCAGAGAAGAAGACAACAGCAGCCTCAGTCCATCACTGAGACAGACCCATGACAGCAGACGCTATCAATAGCACTCTCACATTTACACATTTAATAGCACGCTCCTTAGTTTGTAAGGTGTAGGCAGGGATTACATTTAGATTTTATATGCACGTGTAAATGCTTTAAAACTTGCTTTCTTTATGAATCTTGTTTAATCTTAAAGTGCATTACTATATTTTTCAAAACCAATTACTTGTTAAAGTTTGTACAATCAGTGGGATCAGTTGCAATGCATATATGTGAATGATAAAAGTAAATTGCACATTTGTCGAAGGAAATGTAAGGTGCTTCATGAAATGTTTTGTAAAAGGTATGTTCATTTAATTTCAACATTTTCCTAATGTTCTTGTGCTTCTTTATACCAAAACAAAGGAAAGACAGATTGTTTTGGTTATTTATAGCAAAGTATGGTATCATTTTAATGGTCCGGCCCACTTGACATCTACCCAGGCCGTATGTGGCCCACCATGTGAAATGAGTTTGACACCCCTGCTCCAGGGCTTCATTTATCTGATTCAGGTTCCCTCAGCAGCTTTTCAGCTGTCAGTACTCAATGTACTGCGAAGAGACTCATGTAAACATATTTTAAACAGGAATTTAAAACTTTGTGTGACAGCAGAGATAGGCCTGTTTATTTTTGTTTTGTTTTTTATGGTGCAGTGTTTTGATCAGGCAACATCATCACCCCCCCCCCAAAAAAAAAATCTTAGTGTGCTTTCAGTACAGCTGAACCAAAATTGCGCTGTAGATAGCTAATTTATTCATTGTTAATCAGCTACAAAAATCACTAGCACTTTGATCCATGTTTGTTTGTATTCATTCATACCATGGTAACAATATCAAATGAAAAAAAGGTTTGGGAAATCCTGGATTGTAAAATGCATTCGCGCACAACAGAGGGCAGCAGAGTGCCTGCAGCGATGGATAACTTGACCAACAGCCAAATGATGTCACTCACCAAAATAGGGCTCATTGGGGCAACCCTTCAAGCGAACACCCTTCTGTGTGCACTCAATCAGGAAGTGGCGCACTAATTCATTGGCAAGATCGCCGCCTGCCAAACACAAACACACAAAACAAGGTCATTACCGTACTTAATGATCTGTGGCCCGTTTTAGCAGTACCCGCCCTGCTGATTGGGAGCAAAAACAGCAATTCCCTCCAAGCAAGCCGGGTAATTCCCCCCAACGCATAAAGTTGCCGCCACTGAGATGAATGGGATTATGATTCCACAGAAGAGCCTCGGAGAGGGGGGGGCAGGAGGAGCTGAGGAATGTCTCGACACAAAAGCTGGGAGAAAGACCCGCTCCTTGAGATGGGTTGAGTTTCACACTCATAAGAAAGCACAATGGGCTAAGCTGAGAGTGAGGAGGCGGGGGGAACCGTGTCATGATGTCACCACAGGTGCCTTTGGATTGGACTGGGATCATGGCGAACAAAAAGGACAGGTGTGTATAAGCGTTGGCCAGAAAGGTATGTCCGTACATTTTTGTGCCGTTAGGAATGAACTTGAGAAAAAAAAGGGCAGCATGTATTTGGATGCACACAGTTTTATTGTCCCGCAGAGGTACGATGATATGCAACTCTGTGTTCCTTTGTGTCACGCTGGAACATGTCCAGAGAATGTTTAGTTTCCCGCAGACGGCGGTTTTGTTCCAGAAATAACTCTTCTCGCTCAACAGTCTCACTTGTGTGACCCCATCCAGGCAGGACAGGCGGATTTCCCAGGAGAAGGTTTCTGGATGAAGCACGTCCTTTATGAAGGGCCGAAACATTAGCTGTTCATCCGAGACGTGTCAAGCAACGGTGCTCTGTTTTGTTTCATCGCAATGACGCCCAAGTGGAGCCGTACAGTGTGATGAAAGGGAGAGTCTATGGTTCCGGCATGCGAGGGAGGGCGGGGGGTACAGTGGACGGTAACACGAGATGGCTTGGGGAGTGATTCCCAGGATGTTTTTGTATGTTTGATTTTGGGAGGGAGATTATTAAACTTTCTGAAAGGCACTTTGTCAAGTACGGATGAGGAGCTAAACCCAGTTTACAGGTGGGGAGACCACTTTACCTTTAACGACTGAATAACACCAAAGCTTATTTATTACTTGGGTCTGTTAGTAAGCTCATAGAAGATAACAACTATCATGTCAATTTTCACAAAAACTTGAAGCATAGAAGCTACAATGAAGCAAAGTAGAGAAAAAAAACCCAAAACAGACATTTTGAATTGACTCAAAAATATTTTCCATGTTTCTTGCCGAAGGTGATGCACTTGACAACTATTTGGCCCAATTTGAGCATTTTTGTGCCCTTCCCATCAAAGTCAGCAAAGGCTCGATTGTCAAATGTCTCTAAAATATCCTGATCGATTATCTTTTGGTGTACGGTGTGTTGAGTGACCCCCCCCCCCTTCCCAAATCAAAAGCGGTCTGAGCGTACAATTGTAAATGTCAGACCTGTTTGGTATTAATCATTCAAAGTCTTGACAGTACGCATGTGGTCAACTCAGGACGGCCCGGTGGTCCAGTGGATAGCGCGTCGACCTCACAGTACAGAGGTGCAGGGTTCGATTCTAGCTCCGGCTTCTCTCTGTGGAGTTTGCATGTTCTCCCCGGGCCTGCGTGGGTTTTCTCTGGGTACTCCGGTTTCCTCCCACATTCCAAAAACATGCATGGTAGGTTAATGGAACACTCTCAATTGTCCCTAGGTGTGAGTGTGAGTGTGGATGGTTGTTTGTCTGCATGTGCGTGCCCTGCGATTGGCTAGCAACCATTCAGAGTAGTTCCCCGTGTCCCCCGCCGACTGCCCGAAGACAGCTGGGATAGGCTCCGGCATGCCCCACGACCCTTGTGAGGATAAAGCGGATCAGAAAATAGATGGATGGATGGATGTGGTCAACTCTGAGTTTGGCTGAGTTTTATGAACTGTGACAGCAGCCAAATTGGAAGCTTGAGTTTGTTGACTAGGATATTGTGTTGTTGAGCTTGTAAAACGTGTCATTCCCCACAATGAAAATGACAAACTTTGAGGTTAAAACTGCGATGCAGTCACCAAATGGGGTAAGCTAAGCTTAGCTCCTTCCATTGTGTGCGTCAACTACAATTTGTTGTCCTTTTTGGAATTTCCCAGAATTCTGAATGATTCTGGTGATTTGTGGTCAGGCTATTTTCCTTCCTCATCCGTAGGTTCTCTCACATTCATAAAATCTGTGAGAATGTGAATAGTCTGCATGTGTGGACCCTATTTAAGAGAAGCAAGCCACCATTGCACACAAGGCACCAAAGTCTTGACACTGGACATTCCAAAATGTTAAGATAGCAAGTGAACCATACAGCTTCTCTGATGCATTTTGTACCTTTTTTGCTCTGCTGGAGAACTGAAGCCGGGGGTGTGGCCACCTTCATTGCTAGCCCGTAGGCGCCTCTGAAGGAATGGCTGTCGCGCACAATGAAGCAGCCTGGTTCCTTGTCCTTTAAGACTGAGATGGCTGTGAGACAGAAACATGATGATCATGAGTTGGCTTTAAACACAAGCGAAAGAATAATTAAACCTGGAAGCAGGAATGAGCACAGACGACTTGACTTGAAACATTTGATGGCAATTGCAACGTGAGGAGCAGAGCTATTGCATCGACACATTTCTGCCAGCAGCGGCCGCCCTCATTTCAGGGCAAGACGGCTATACCACACAAGACGCTTGGTCTCGCTTGACCTTGGGGTGATGAGTTATTATACCTGTTGTGTGGCAAGTCAACAAACATCCGCACCATGCTCTGCTGACGTGCGGTGTTGCAAACTCAAATTATTTTACAGTTTGCCATCAGCCGTCTGTGCAGTACATGTGGATCAAATTTGACAGCAATCAGACAAAATGGACGTGTTTATTGTTCATGCTACCTCGAAATGACCCAAAATGAGCCACTTACAACCAAAACAGTAGACTTCCTGTGCCCTTTCAGGGACAGGTTCTTGAGAATTTTTTATGAGTCTACTATTGATAGAAATGCCTCGTAAATTTCATGTTAAGCTAACTGGATTTGGGCTGTTTCACCTGAATGAACATGAGTACAAAACGTGGTGAGTTTTTTGAGCATGTGAAAATGGCCCTTTATTTGTCCTCAAATGAAAAATGACAAAGAGACCGAGCAGTTTGAAGCGGTTCTGCTGCATAAACCTACCTTGGTCTCTTGAGATGTCAGGCTTGTACCAGAATTTGGATGTGTCTTGTACAAATTTGACAGTAACCTTGCTCGCAAGCACATCTGCAAAACAAAATGCAGCAGAATGAAATCTGAGTTAATTTTTAAGGCCACAAGGCACTTTTATTTTAAGCTCCTGGCTCACCTGGTAGAGGTGAGCCTGTTCTTGGTATCTGAGCCGACAGGTCGGGCAAGACGTTGGGGAAGGGGATACTCAACGAACTCCCGCTGTGTGGACTTGAGAATCCGCTCAGGGCTGGGGAGGATGTTCCCCCACGTTCCCCATCGGACACCCTTTTCTTCTCAGGCAGATGTGGGGGTTGCATCAGGAAGGACTGTGATTGATTCTCATCCAAGGAGCTAAGGTTATCCCTTTCCCTACTCCCATTTCCGAGCAGCAAGGCAGGGGTCGGACAGTGTGAACCGTAATCAAGACCTAAGTCATCCTGCTCGTCAAAGCTTTGGGCAGGACTGTGCCTGAGGTCATAGCGAGCCATATGGCTTCGCTGGCTGCTTCGAGGCGAGCTGTGGGCGTTAGGAGCCGGGTGGACGTGTTGGGGGCCATAGTCCAGTGACGCGGGGTGCTGGGGGGCTTGCCTGCTGGAAGGGAAGCTGTTCAAAGATGCTTGACGGCTCAGGACGGGATGCTCTGGCCAAGACTGATTCACTGATGGACTTCAGTTGTGAAAAGAGCGACAGGGGAAGATCAACAATGACAACACGTATTTGTATTTACGGAGCTGGACGGAATCCTACCTGTCTATCCGCTGATGCGACCCAACGATGGAGGCAGAATGTGTCGTATTTTGTATCCTGTGACAGCTGATGGCGGAATTTGATACACTGTCAACTCCAGCATGATTGATCATCTCTGAATATCCTCGCGAATCTGCGTGAGAGACAAGAAAATTATAGAGCTGTTTTCTTTCCATTTTGTGTTCATTTGAATTGAAAGAACCCATAAAGGAAAGCATAGAAATAGCCATACAACTGGGAAATATTGCCTCAGAGAAGAGCTGTGGATTGAGTCCAATCAATATTGTGGTTTACAGGAAATGAAAACAGGAGTCATCAATCTTTATAAAACTACTTACCAATTATTTCCGCCACAAATCGGATTCGATTGAGCAGACTGACATAATTAGATAAAAGCACAGTGTTGTTAAGCTTTAGGCGGTTTCTTTTTTAATCAGTTGTGTGCAGAAATAGCGTTTGTATTTCCCACTGCATACACAGAGAAGGTTTCAGACAGGGGGAAGAAAAGTTTGTCTTTGTCTCATGGCTTCCCTGGCCCACAGTAACCATGGTAGTGAGACAGAACTGAATGTTGCCAGGATTCTGGCTTTGGGTGTCTCTGGTTTGAAGAGGCACAGCGGGGGCAGCGTTTCGTTCCCAGGCCGTCCGCGAGAAAGATGAACACGTTTAGGCCACAATGAGTTAACGACACAGAGAAGTTGAGTCAAAAAGAAATACAAGACGGCAATACCAACTGTCTGTTTGTGGGCACCTCCAGATTTACAATGTTGCTGTGACGTTGTGCGCTAAACAGAAAGGCTGCAAACCAACATGATGAAGGGATTAAGTCCATTTTATTGAAGTCCTTCCCCCACATGCTGGTACGACTTCCTATCTCGGTGAGCAATCTGGAAGACAGACTGTCTTCCACATCGCAGATAAACCCCACAAAACCAAATGGGTGTATTTTAGTCATCAGACTTGTATTGTCTAAAGAGGTTGCACCATTGAGTGTAACAAAGGAACCAAAGCCCAGTCAGGAAATCTCCCCGGGTTTGAATTTTTTGTTTTGGTTTTTGGTTTCTCTCTCAAAAACATCATTGTGAAGATGTCTAGTCACAGAGCATACATACTTATGCATTGCCTTGGCGACATTGAAATGGACTTACCGTGATCTGTCCTGAAGCCTCCATAGGAATGAATGCTGGGAGGTGGTGTTTGCCGGAATGACTGAGTAAACTCTGACACGTTTTTCACTGAAAAGAGAAAAACAAGATATTTTTATTTACAGTATTTTTTACTGAAAATTCTTTACAAATCCTGAAGGGCACCTCAACATCACTTCAAATCAGACTACACATCTTTCCAACGCGTTGTCAATCAACAGTGGTACTTGAACCGCAAACCTCCATGTCCAAAGTCCTTACAGATGAGCTACCTCTGACCGATTAGAAGTCGAAAGACAACCTGGGAGAGATTCACCAAACCACCCATTTCTACTGCATCGTTTAGATCAACCATTACAGAAGCCTTCTGGTGGGCATATCCACCTGGCAGAAAAGCTTTAGACATACACTAGACTAGAGGGACTTTAACAGACTGCTGGTCTAGGAAAATGTTGGTGACGTGGAAATGTCTCGGCACCCTTCTCTGGCTCTGAACCCACGAATCGTTTTCCGAACCAGCGTCACATACTCGCATCATATGAGGACCAAGACAAACCAAATCATTGTGAAGCATCTTGCAAGAGTATTTTAGGGCAAAATAGTTCTCTTGCACATTAGGGAGACACTAACTCGACTCACCGTATGGTGTAGGTGGCGATATTGGGAAGGCGGGCGTGGGTGGAGTTCCGTCACACCCAGCTTCAACCCCGTTGTCTGCATCTGGAACTTGCGTCCTGTAGTCAGCACTGTTACTCCTGCACAACACGGTATGCTGGAGACAAACAGTATAAATGGTAAAAAGCCACATTGAACACAAAGCTCGTCGGGAAAAGCTGTAAGGTTGATCGTACCTGTGTCTGTGGTAAACGGGGCGAATGCGTCCTCTGGTTTCTGTACTCCTCTGGTCCCGTCCTCCCCGAGTTGCAGAACCTTGGGCGATCCGTGACGTCACTCCCTTGGCAACTCAGACTTCGTGTGACATCCCCTTTGTTGGATTGGAGAGCTGGACGGAGGAAGCGGTGGGTTATTAAATGTGAAACGAATTCCTCTAGATGTGGTTGGGTTAGCTGTTAGCACATTTGCGTCACGGTTCTGAGAATCTGCGGGTTCAAATCTTGGCTTTGGCATTCCTGTGTGGAGTTTAGGTATTTTCTGGGTGCTTGTGGGGGTTTTCTAACGTCACTACGCCTCCCTCGTTCCTTCCACTTTGTCCATATGTGTGTGAAAGCCTGGTTGTTTTAATGTGGCCTGTGAATAACTGGTGACCAGACCATGGTGGATGCCACCTCTTGCTAAAAGGCAACTGGGACTCTAAGCGCTATAGAAAATGGGTGGATAGATGGATGTGCTTGAGTAGCCTGTTGGGAATATCCCTGATAATGGGATGGCCTGTGATCGGTCAAGGTTGTCGCCCACAGCAGCTGCAATAGCCTAAAGACGATGAGGCATAAAATAAATTGTTATACTAATGGATTGTATTGCAATACCGTCCACACTCATTATCTTTTCATAAGTGAAAAGGGGCTTTAAGGCATGCTGGCAGGTTCCTCAAAGGCTCATGCCTGCAGTCATGGTTTGAGAGGACAGCTGAGGAATGCTAGTGAGCTATCTTGTAGGCCAGCGTGTGTATGTGCGGGTGGGAGGTTGCGGGGTCTCGCTGCTGTGACTACGCTGAGGAACGTCACTATTCAGCACTAGGGTGTTAATTTGAACCCTCCCCGTGAGCTCAGGACTGTCAGCCAGCGAAGAATGCTAATGATGCCCAAGTGCTAATAATGGGGCTCATTAGTCGCATTGTCTGATGATTGACCAAGAGCTGTCAAGTCGCTGTGGTCACATTTTATGAACTGTCTGCTGTTGAGTCCATTTTTGTTTCACTAATCCAAATATAGTTGTAGGAAATGAAGTTGTTTTTGCGTAAAAGCGATAACAACTAAAATGCTAAATGAAGTTAGCAATCAACGTCTCTGTGTTACTCGCCAGGCTGACAATACCACGCAACTAGATTAAATCGATCCTCAATTTTGCCTCATCGTCGGCCTTTAATGTAGCTCATTTTATTAAGTGATTAAGTGTCTAAACTAGCATGGTGGGTTTTTTTTTTTTTTACTGCAAGTAAGAGTGAATAAAATCCATAACATATAGAGGCTTTTTTTCCACGTTTTTTTCCTCCCCCTTAAAAAAGGCCTTCTTGTAGCTGATATGCACAGACAGGTATGGCTTTCTTTGGACTCAAATGGAAAAATATTTGCCCGCAGGCTCACAATTCCTTCTCGGAAATTCCTCAGGCCAACCATCATCTTCACCAGCCCTCCCCTTGCCAGCCACAAATACATGCTGGAGTTGTGATTCACACGCAGCCAGATGTGGATGACTGCCTTTTCTCTCTGCCTCATTAGTTTCCGACTAAAAACACCGACTTAAGTGCATCGCAGCTGTCATTGACTATTCAAAGATTTAAGTGAGTGGAACCTAATAACCTTGTTGTTTTTCTAGGCTGAAATTCAAAGATGGTCAACTCTGACTTTTCCAGCATCATGAACACCACACTGAAAGCTATCAAGGCACTTACATGCTGCCTTTGATTTTTGCGGCGTCCACCGCAGTGTTGGGCACAAAATGGCAACGGAATGATGCAGCGCGGCACAAGCTTGCCCATGTTTGGCTTTGGTTGCTAAGTATCTGAACGGGAAGTTGCCTGGTGCCTCTTCTTGTTTTGGACATGAAGTAAGCTGCACTATTGCAACGGAAGCCTCAGGCATTGCTTATAGCAATGAAGAAGAAGGACATCTAATTGAAATGATGCGAGTGTGGCTATGCTACATTTGACATCTTTGAACTGAAATCATGTTTCTTTCACTTTCAACCAACGTGGTACATTCAAAGGAGTGGAGATCTCCCCCCATCACTTTTCTTTTTGACCATCTGATCAGTCTTGTGTCTGAGAGCTCAGGACATTGGGACACCGCTTAATTGATTGATTCCTGCACTTTCTCTCTTTTTCCTCAGTTGTTTTCACTACAGAACTCATTCCTGCAAATCTCTTGCTATTGTCACTCTGAAATCACTCTGCCGGGGTCTCTCCAATTGGATGCAACTAGATGTCGTGACAATGTTGGTTCAAAAAATGTTTAGTACGCCTGCCACAGCAGAGGCCTCGCATCCTCGTTAGCCGACAGTCATTGCGCCGCAGTAGCACATACACAATGAATAGGCTGTTGTAATAAGGCCTTTGGGCAAGGAGAACTGCACAGTTATGAGACTGTTGAACAAGAACACAGTCATTGCGCCGCAGTAGCACATACACAATGAACAGGCTGTTGTAATAAGGCCTTTGGGCAAGGAGAATTGCACAGTTATGAGACTGTTGAACAAGGACATCAAACTCATTTGGGGAAAAAAAAAATCTTGTACAACTTTAGCCAATAGTAACATTGAAGAATGTCCATCCAGCTATCCATCCATCCATCCATCCTTTTTCTCTCCAGCTTACTCCAGCGGACTTCTTTTGAACTGATCGACGGTCAATCAAAGGGCTCATATTGAAAAGGTCAACCATTCACACCATCACAGAGTGAGAAGTGACCCAAACTCAGGCGAGTGTACCACATCATGACTTACTTGGATCGTAAGTAATTTCCAAAAAAAGTACAATAGCAAAAGAGACACACCGAAGCCAAGAGTAATCACGCAAATGAGCTGATAATGAGAACAATGCAGAGTGTGATGTCAGAAAAAGGAGACATTGGCTCTTCACCTTGCCAGGATTTCCCCCAAAGTGACTTTCAATTTGCAGCTCGGGTTTTTAAAACTACCTTAATCCATGTTGACATTGCCTGATTTATTTGGACTCTTTAATGTGCAAAATATGTACAGACAAACTCTTTGAGGAACAATGTTCAAAAAGGTCCTCCCTCCCTCTCCTCGTGTAATGTGCTGGTCCCCCTTCTGATAGCTATACGGGCAGGCCTGAACAACGCGCCGACCTGCGAAACTTACTGAAAACATCTGAAACAGCTGGCAGCAACCCTGCTATTTCTGCAACTCAAACACGCCGGGTTGGGAATGGGGAGGGGAGATGAGGGCAGTTCACTCCACTGTGCAGCGCAGGAGGAATTATGTTTTTAAGTTTTATGGTATAATAGCTTCTTCTACCTTAACCCCAGGTAAAAAAAATCACTTGATCAACATCGCATCACTGCTGTGTGACTGTCTTACCTATCTGCTGCGTGTTGTTCTCGCTGAATCGCAGATTGATGCCGTTGGAGCACTTGGAAGTCGAGCCATTTACATGCGCGCCACCGTTTCTCTTGATGGAGCTGCTCTTGCTGGAGAGCGGCACAAAAGTGGGATCCAGGTCCATGATGAGCTGGTTGAGCTGATCGATGGAGTTGTCAATGTCCATGGTAAGAGATTTGAACTCGTCGTCTCGTTTGGTGTTGTTATTGTTGAGTGTTGCTTGCTCCTTATGAGGATCTGTGTCTCTCAGAGCGGAGTCCTGCTGCTCCAAGGTCAGGCCTTCTTTAGGTGAAGTCCTCCTTTGTTTGTTCCCTTGGTACCTTTCTGCATCATTTCCATCCTCAGGCATGTAGATTAACTGTTGTGCGGCAACCATCTGTTGCTGGCGGACCCAGGACTGTGTGGAATAGTTTCCCTGTAGGTAGACGTGCTGCTTTGGCACAGAAGCGCTGCTGGGCTTGGAGGGAGCCACGGAGTTGCTCCCGGAGCCAATATGGCCCCTTCTCGCATCACCGTACTGTCTCTCAAAGTCTTCCATGGGAGAAGGTAGCGGGTGATGGAGCTGAGTCTGGCTTTGGCTTTGCTGCTCCTCTCCTCCAGGACTCCCAAAGCCATCTGAGAGGAGGGAGTTCTGGCTGCTTTTATGGCAGGACGATGACAAGGTCCCAAAGCTGTCCACGCTATGCAGATCCTGGCCTGTAATGACCTCATCATCCAGGATGTCTGTTTCCCTCTCTCGAGGACCTCTTGAGGGATCGCCATTCATGTGCACTTGAGCTGGGATTATTTGATGCATGCCCACTCTTGGGGATGGATCGTCCATCTCCTCCAGCGAGGGGTCCTCCACTCCGAATCCACTCAACAGCTGTTTGAGCTGGACTTTCTCCTGCTGGCTGGGACCCTTGTTGGAGCGGACGGTGGCAGAGGTAACGGCGGCGGACGAAACGATGGGTTTGTCTGTCCAGAGGGAGGTGCTAGACAGGCCCGAGTCGCTGCTGACGGAGAGGGCGTGATCGCTGTGGTCGGGACTGGAGGTGGCGGATGTGGTGCAGGTCCCTCGACCCAGTGTGGCCTCTCCTCCGTTGGGGGTCTTCTTGGTAGCTGCTTTGTCCTGGCTTAGACTTTGGGAGCGTATCACTGTCAAATAGGAAACAAAAGGTTTAGTGAAAGGGTAGTGAATGCGCTTTTAACTAGCCAGAGGAATTGTTATTTATTTATTTATTGGTAGCATTTCTGTTATCATCAGAGATTCGCAAACGTTGCGGTCCACTGAGCCTGACTTCAGGTCTAAACTCAATGATAATGTGAAAGTGAGACAGGATGGTCATCTGTCTTTATTTGTGTCCTGTGCGTGGCTGGTGACAGGCACAAGGTGTGGTTTGCCTTTTCCCTAAAGTCAGCTGGGTTCCAGTTCACCCTTGAGCATGAACCGATTCAGAATCAGGATCAGGTTTATTGGCCATGCAAGAAACAAACTAGGAATTCACCTCCCAGTTACAACCCGTTCAGAAGAACAAAGTCAAGACTGACATGGGCATGACAGAATGGGAATAAGCGGTATAGAAAATTAATGGATGACTAATGGCTCCAATAGTGGAGCAAATACCTCATGAGGTTTTTGTTTGCTTTGCGGGGCATCATATTTGTGGTTGTCCTTTTTATTGCGGTAATTGGCATCCTGCCTGCAGAAAGGCAATGTAAAGATTCTGGGGTTTGGACAATTTCACCAATCGTGACCCGTAGTGAAAATTGTGCAGATGCCATTCATTTGCAGTCTGGACACGGGGGAATGAACATCTCAGGAAGTCTCTGAGACACTCCAGAAGTTTTCAATAATACGTCCCTTGAGTTGTGGCTCAACCCTTTTTCAAAAAAAAGAGTTGCTTGAGCGATTGCAAAAGTTGGTAGCGCATGACGGACGAACGTCAGATCCCTTTTTTAAAGACACCTTGGCGCCGTTTTTAAATTGTGTAAGCATTTTGCACTTTGTTGCTATTGTCGCCACAACAACTCTTTGCCTCCCATCAGGCATTCCAAGGGAAAGAAAAACACCCTTGAATCCTAATGCTCAGATTATATAACAGACCTGGAGTGTCTTCTGCGTGTCAGACGGCTGCACATCTTGACCTCTGCATTCCTATCCCTGCTGTGATCAAGCTACCCTTCTCCTGCCCGACTGCCCCTTGACCCTTGGCATATGTCCAAACAACCTCTTTAATTCTCGAGAAGCGCGGGAGGCCAGTCATTTGTGGCCGGGCCGAGTCACCATCCGTCACTCCAGAGATATCGGGAGCAATACTAGAAGAATTCTGTCCCACTGCTCGTTTGACTTTATGATTCCGCTGAGGAAACCAAAGCCATACTTGACTCACTTGATCTATCGCCTTAAGTTCAAGCTTTTGCCTCACACCCTGGCCACATCTAAATACCAGACACGCATTATAATGCCCCCCCCACCCCCGCCCTCCCCCTATGCCCACACTCCTGCTGCTGCTCCAGTATGTATGACTTACCCCCCACATGCACAGACACACTGGTGGGAACGTGCATCCGGCCTTGCTAAACTAGCTCGGCTCAGGCCTCCTCTCGCAGCTTTCCAGTAAATCCCTCTCATAACATTCCAAGCAAGGTGCGAGCTGCTTTACAGGCAGATGTTTGCCCCCTCTTTGCTGACCATCACTCCCCTGTCATTTCACCCCACTAAATACTCCTACCTTTTCTGCAACATGCAGGTGGGCGCACAAGAGAATCCACATCTCCTGAGAAGTTGATGAGGAGCAGAAGCCATACAGAGAAACGGCCGCGGACATGGCTTTTTCCTTGCCGGATAATGTTCAGGGTCAAAATCGCTGGAGTGAGTTCTTTCTCCAGCGAGAAGGTGAGTGTGTTTGCACTCCACACAAGGAGTGTAAAAGGTGGGGGGGGGCTCCACATCTCCAAAAAAGGGCAGAGGAATGTAAACACGTGAGGCGGGGCTTAGGGGAAGGGAGGGGGGGCGGGGGCGGGACAGGGGAAAGGCAGTAACCAGACCTCCTGCCCTGCATCAGAGGGACTACCCCAATGGGGGGGCGAAAAGATCACAGAATGAAAACAACATTCCTTCCTGCCGACTTTTCACTCTTCAGAAAGATACAGTCCTTTTTAATTAAAGCGATTGCCCTCCACTTTTCACAAGAAGCGGCATCCTGGTAGTTGTCCTCTTCCCGCTTGTGTGTCATTAAATCGCATTCCTATCATCTATAGTGTACAATATCGTCCAGAAACAGATGTGGCCTACACTCAATTATGGGGTTCTGGAATCATGTTTGACCTTCATTATGGAAGGCAAATTCGAGAGCAGTGAATCTCTTGCGGCGTTCTTGTTTGGTGAGTTGTGTCAAAAACATGCAATGATTCATGGAGAAATAAGTTGACGTTGTTAGTTTGTACTTGTTGGTCTGATAGCTTCTTGTGTAAAAAGATGTTATTCAAAAAGAAGGATTTTGTTTGGTCAGAAAGTGTGTGACTTGTCGTGTGTTGGGCATTTTTTTGAATTGTCAATTTCTACAACAAAACAATTGCATCTGAGTTTATTATGTGACATCTGAATGGATCAAACGGTGAATTTAATGGACCGGCTCTATCAATTAACTCCCACAGCTGCAATTTTAATATTCCATCTCAGTGTGTGCTCATAGCGGACGTCTGTGGCCTTACTTATTCCGTGCACTTTGAATGTTTAATTTGACTTAAGGGCAGCACAGCGGACTCGTGATCAGCACATCTGCTTCCCAGTTATGAGGTTTGGGGCTCGATTCTGGGCTGCGTGTTCTCCCACATTTAAAAACCGTGCATGATGTGTTTATTAAAGACTCTCAATTGTCTATGAGTGGGAAGGCTCATTTGTCTGTGTGCCCCACAATTGAGTGGCGACATGACCAAGGTGTACCCTTGTCTAGTGCTCAAATTCAGCTTGAAGAGGCTCAGTTTGTTTGCAGCAATGGTTCCATTCAAGTTTTCACCTGAATAAAGAAATAAATAGATAAATAAATTAAGTTGAGTTGAGAGGACACGCGTGCTATCGAAAACGGATGGGCAGAATTTAACGATACTCCTCAGTTGCTCAATGTTCTGACATGCACTTTGCACACGCCATCCTGTGTATTGATGATGAAAAGATGATTCATATGTTTTTGAAAGGGACTCTTGCAAGATAAATATGATTGGTTTGGCTTGTGTGAAAGTGGGTCACCAAGTAGCGAACATGTGAAAATAGAACTCCCAAGGTTCTTGAAGGAGCAACGTGATGCCAAAATTGTATGTCGCCTTGTCGCCTGTGGTCAGCCCCAAAATGATCCACAAGTGTCCTATAGCCAGCTCTTTAGGGGGAGGTCTGATCTACGACTACGCAAATATAGAATGCCCGTCCTTTGGTCCCAAATTCCTCCAATTCCAACATCCCGAGTGTCAGAAACATGGACACTTGACTTGGAATGAGAATGCTGATCCTTCTCATTTCCTTCTACTCTGCGACTATAGAAAATTAGCGACTAAACAAAATGAAAGCTTTGTGCGGTTGTCAAGTACAATGAATGGCCGATTTTGACTTTATACTAAACTGTTTTGGAGCAGGGAACGCTTAATATTTTCTTTACTCCATTCAAATTCAACTGGATTTTCAGAACATTACAAAATAAAGTGTGACTATCTTTTTGTTCCCTTCTCAGTGTTTACCGCTGAGGAAACCAAAGCCATACTTGACTCACTTGATCTATCGCCTTAAGTTCAAGCTTTTGCCTCACACCCTGGCCACATCTAAATACCAGACACGCATTATAATGCCCCCCCCACCCCCGCCCTCCCCCTATGCCCACACTCCTGCTGCTGCTCCAGTATGTATGACTTACCCCCCACATGCACAGACACACTGGTGGGAACGTGCATCCGGCCTTGCTAAACTAGCTCGGCTCAGGCCTCCTCTCGCAGCTTTCCAGTAAATCCCTCTCATAACATTCCAAGCAAGGTGCGAGCTGCTTTACAGGCAGATGTTTGCCCCCTCTTTGCTGACCATCACTCCCCTGTCATTTCACCCCACTAAATACTCCTACCTTTTCTGCAACATGCAGGTGGGCGCACAAGAGAATCCACATCTCCTGAGAAGTTGATGAGGAGCAGAAGCCATACAGAGAAACGGCCGCGGACATGGCTTTTTCCTTGCCGGATAATGTTCAGGGTCAAAATCGCTGGAGTGAGTTCTTTCTCCAGCGAGAAGGTGAGTGTGTTTGCACTCCACACAAGGAGTGTAAAAGGTGGGGGGGGGCTCCACATCTCCAAAAAAGGGCAGAGGAATGTAAACACGTGAGGCGGGGCTTAGGGGAAGGGAGGGGGGGGCGGGGGCGGGACAGGGGAAAGGCAGTAACCAGACCTCCTGCCCTGCATCAGAGGGACTACCCCAATGGGGGGGCGAAAAGATCACAGAATGAAAACAACATTCCTTCCTGCCGACTTTTCACTCTTCAGAAAGATACAGTCCTTTTTAATTAAAGCGATTGCCCTCCACTTTTCACAAGAAGCGGCATCCTGGTAGTTGTCCTCTTCCCGCTTGTGTGTCATTAAATCGCATTCCTATCATCTATAGTGTACAATATCGTCCAGAAACAGATGTGGCCTACACTCAATTATGGGGTTCTGGAATCATGTTTGACCTTCATTATGGAAGGCAAATTCGAGAGCAGTGAATCTCTTGCGGCGTTCTTGTTTGGTGAGTTGTGTCAAAAACATGCAATGATTCATGGAGAAATAAGTTGACGTTGTTAGTTTGTACTTGTTGGTCTGATAGCTTCTTGTGTAAAAAGATGTTATTCAAAAAGAAGGATTTTGTTTGGTCAGAAAGTGTGTGACTTGTCGTGTGTTGGGCATTTTTTTGAATTGTCAATTTCTACAACAAAACAATTGCATCTGAGTTTATTATGTGACATCTGAATGGATCAAACGGTGAATTTAATGGACCGGCTCTATCAATTAACTCCCGCAGCTGCAATTTTAATATTCCATCTCAGTGTGTGCTCATAGCGGACGTCTGTGGCCTTACTTATTCCGTGCACTTTGAATGTTTAATTTGACTTAAGGGCAGCACAGCGGACTCGTGATCAGCACATCTGCTTCCCAGTTATGAGGTTTGGGGTTCGATTCTGGGCTGCGTGTTCTCCCACATTTAAAAACCGTGCATGATGTGTTTATTAAAGACTCTCAATTGTCTATGAGTGGGAAGGCTCATTTGTCTGTGTGCCCCACAATTGAGTGGCGACATTACCAAGGTGTACCCTGTCTAGTGCTCAAATTCAGCTTGAAGAGGCTCCGTTTGTTTGCAGAAATGGTTCCATTCAAGTTTTCATATGAGTAAAGAAATAAATAGATGAATAAATGAAGTTGAGTTGCGAGGACACGCGTGCTATCGAAAATGGATGGGCAGAATTTGACGATACTCCTCAGTTGCTCAATGTTCTGACATGCACTTTGCACACGCCATCCTGTGTATTGATGATGAAAAGATGATTCATATGTTTTTGAAAGGGACTCTTGCAAGATAAATATGATTGGTTTGGCTTGTGTGAAAGTGGGTCACCAAGTAGCGAACATGTGAAAATAGAACTCCCAAGGTTCTTGAAGGAGCAACGTGATGCCAAAATTGTATGTCGCCTTGTCGCCTGTGGTCAGCCCCAAAATGATCCACAAGTTTTCCTATAGCCAGCTCTTTAGGAGGAGGTCTGATCTACGACTACGCAAATATAGAATGCCCGTCCTTTGGTCCCAAATTCCTCCAATTCCAACATCCCGAGTGTCAAAAACATGGACACTTGACTTGGAATGAGAATGCTGATCCTTCTCATTTCCTTCTACTCTGCGACTATAGAAAAGTAGCGACTAAACAAAATGAAAGCATTGTGCGGTTGTCAAGTAAAATGAATGGCCGATTTTGACTTTATACTAAACTGTTTTGGAGCAGGGAACGCTTAATATTTTCTTTACTCCATTCAAATTCAACTGGATTTTCAGAACATTACAAAATAAAGTGTGACTATCTTTTTGTTCCCTTCTCAGTGTTTATTCCTGAAGTGTGTCTTCATTATGATTATGAGTTGGCATCAGTTGGCAGAAGGATACCCTTAAATACCAACTTCCTGCGAGATTATATAGCGTGTGACAAAAGAGGAAAAAAAGGTACCGATTCATTATTTCTCCTTTTAAAACCAACTTCCAATCATTTCCAGCTGTTAGTGCCCAACAAAAATGCCGTTTTGTCAGTAAACACCCTCTCCAAGCTCCTTTTAAATCCCATTCTTAATTCACACCTAGGGATAAACACACATTGGGACTGAATGGAGAAAAAAAAAGCCATTGAAGTAAATGAGTTCTTTCTCCCCTGCCTCAACACACCATTTTAGCACTTTTGTGGCAAACGGTTTTGAGACTTCCTCGGGCCGTGTCGCTTTGGAGGCTGTCAAAGAAGGGGACGCCATGCCTACTACGTTGCTGGGAAGAAGATGTCGAATTCTCACAAAGTCCCGCTCGGATGTAGTGTTTACATGAGAAAGCAGGGCTGTGAATATCCCACATGAATGCTTCAGAATCAAGTGGCGGGGTGGGTCGGGGGTTGGGGGGGTGATGGCTGCGGTTTTGTTCAAGTCTGCTCTTTTATTTTTATTTTTTATTGAAGGAATAAACGTTTATGTGAGAATAACACAGGTCATTTTCATCAAACCTTCATAAAAGCATCCAGTGACTCATGGGAATTGGGTGGATCTGTATCTATTCCGGGAGGCTGTTGTGAATGGTGCGGTTGCGTGGAGAGCAGTGACCACACAGAGGACAGCACGCCGCCAGCCTCTGACTGCTGAAGCGCTACAGAGGGTATGCGATGGTTCAAGCGCAACTATTCATTTGAAGGAACAACAAAATAGAAATGCCCTGAGAACTCAAGTCCCTGCCTTTGAAGCCAGCGCTCGCTCACATTCTTCATAGCAACACTCCTCCCTTTGACATTATTGAAGCCATGGCACGACAAGTTCATTTTTCTTCTCTTCTCCATCCATCCATTTTCTACAGCGCTTGTCAGCATGACAGTTGAGGCTGATCCGAAAGCCTATCTGAGCTGAATTTTGGGCAAGAGGCAGGATACGCCACCCTGGACTGGTCACCAGCAAATCGAAGGGTACATATAGACAAACCCGAAATCACACTCATATTCACACCTATGAACAATTTATAAGATGACGGAATACCTTGAGAAAATCCACACAAGCACAGCGCAAACAAAACTACAACGCATAGAGGCACGCTAAGCGTGAGGTAAGAGGTTTGGAAATGTTTTGAAACACTGCTTAGCCAGTTGTGAATGATTTTATGGTTTAATGATGTGGAAGTTAGACCCAGGAACAGATTCATTTAATTTCTATTATTTCCTATGAGGAAAAGGCTTTGAAATCAGAACTTTGAGTTTCCAGTGTACAGTAGACCCCGCTATTTGCAGTAGATAGGTCCACCCTATCGATCGATCGATCGATAGATATGCGAATATATATATA